TCTGCCTATACCCTGCTCTTTCTCTTCTCATACCAGCGCCATCCCATGGTTTGATAGGCCTCACCTGCATGCATGCGGACACCCTGGCCCACAGGTCCAAGCTCCCAGGTGCATGTATTGGTGTTGTGAAACATTCTTAGTAGGACAGACCCAATGGAGACGCTGCCCAGGCCCTGGATATGGTCTCGGAAATATTTGGGTAATAACTCTGTGGCTCAGGTGCCACAATAGAGTAGTACCTCTCAAAACCACTAAACCTGCAGGGGTCCTTCCATCTGCACCCTTAGCTTCATACCAGAACTTGTTAGAAATATAAACTCCCTCAGGCCCCAGAGGTTTGTGGTGAGGCCCAAAATTTGCATTTCTAGTAAGTTCCCAGGTGATGCGGATTCTGCTGGTCAGAGAACCCACGTTAAGAACAACTAGTTAAGAACAACTAAACTAAACTTGGCTCTTCAGATTCCCCACCATTTGGGGGAGGGCACCATTGGAGACTGACAAAACTGAGCCCTCCAAAGCACAGGGCCCAGGGCAGGGTCAAAAGCAGTACTCACAGAACCAAATCACCTGCTTGTCCCAGCCTCTTCCTGACCCCCTGCCCCCAGCCACCCTCATATATTTTTACTCTTTCAGTCATATGTTCTTTCTGTGGGTCTCCAGAAACTATAACTCCTAAACAGAGGGTCCAAGAAGGTGGCTGCTCTGTGCAGCTCCCCTGCAGACTACATTCCCCACCTGTCTGGACCTGTTCTGGAGCCACGAATCAAGAAATAACCCAGAGGGGGCATCTGACCTGGAGAGTGCACACACCACAGTCCACTGCAACCCTGCAGACACTGTGCTTGCTAACCCAGCATCACAAGGCCTGGTCCTGCTGCCATGGCTGCCTGTGGGTAGGAAGCTGGCCGTTCACACTCCTTTCTACAAGCCTCCTCTCCCATTAAGTTTTGTATAAATGAAAGCCAATGTCATCAAATGACCCTTTCTCCTATGCCTCAACTAGAAACATTGTACTTTTCATTTCAAACTCTGTGACATTTTCTTACATCCAAAAAGTGAATCCTATGCTTTAAGCCTTTAAATGAAATTGATCAGTAATACACCGTGAAAGTTTTTGTCTTTATTCTTGCTTTTAACTTGCACCAACCTGGTTTGTTACAGCTTGGCTCACGCCCCAGGTAATTCAGCGTTTGTTGAGTATTGGACATGTACACCTGTCAAGTTACAATCGCTGGATTTGTGCTTATTAACTTCCCCTGGTGGGTGGTAGAGGAAGGAGGGGAGAAGAGAAGGACAAGCAAACCACCTGTATATTTGAAGAAAATTCTTCATAAATAGGTCAGCCTATTTTGAGTTAAGAGCAAGTTGGTAAAAGGCCAAGGACACCTAAAACATGCACATCTGGGGTGGGATTAATTTTTAAAAGTAAAGAAGAAAGCAAATAAACAAGAAAAAGAGCTAATCATTTGCAAGATAAGGCTATTGTGCCCATTTTAAGTGAGGAAAGTGGCTAAGAAAGGTAAAAGCATTTGTGCGGGGTTACAGTAGTGGCTGGAGGAAACTAGAGAAGTAAACACCAGGTGGGAGAAGAAAGAATGTCCATGGCATCAAAGGACCCTGGGGAACCTGAGACCCACGAAGGCGGCCTAAAGAAGGAATACACAGCGGCGGGAAACGCGCCTTGCTCGCCCACCTGGGCTGCTCCTGCGGCAGGCGGCTCCCTTGGACCACCATGCAGAGGGTTTCCGAAAACCTGCCACTTCGTTTGGTCTGGGGCAGGAAGGGTCCGCACTACATTTTTTTCCCAAGACATCTCTGAGATATGTGCGCAGACTGAGGTCCCTCTTGAGGGTCTTAGTTGGATTTTCTGTCGCTCTCGGGCCCAAAGGTGCGCCCGCGGCTCCAGCTCTCCCGACCCCAATGGCCCTTAGCGCCACAGACTCTACGCTCCCGGACGCTCCTACCCGCGAGTCCCGCTCGCGGTGACCCTGGACCGCTACTGTCCAGACGTCTAGTCGGCCCTGCCCGACTCCTCCAGACGTCCCACCAGGCGTCCCGCCCATGTCCTCTGAAGGCACAGACCCTGCAGCTCAGAAAGCAGAGATGACAGCGGGCTTTCTCATCCCAACTCCCCTAGGTGGAGATAGAGGGAGCGGGATAATCACCATCTTTACAAAGGAAACTCCACAAGTCTTTACAGCTAAGGCTTTCTCGCACCCCTCATTTCTGAGCCAACAGCAGCAATGAAGCTTATGGGCACTCCCTTTGTGCCAGGCACGTGCTCAGGGCTTTGATGGCCTCTGCCACTGAATCCTCATCTCGACCGTCCTGGGGCTCCAGGAGGTGTCTTAACTTGCCCACTATCTAACAGCTGGTAAGGGACAGGATCTGAAGTCTTAGTTCTAACCCCCACCTTCAATCACGAGGCCACACCCCTCTACCAGGGTTCTGATAGGGCCATGGAGCAAAGATGAAGGGAG